AAATAACTTTCAGTTAAAGCAGTGCGAGGTGTGTTTGCCTCAATGGGCAAACGCCAATGTTATGCTGAAAGAGCTCAGAGAGTGGGAGGAAGAATGCCTCCGTTTGGCTACTGCTCATCGTGCTTTCGATGAGAAGGATCGAAAAAATGCCCTGAAATGGAGGAGAACGCTTCAATGGGAGGCGGCAAAGTATGATATGGTCATGCAGGTGAGTTCTAGTGGTTTGAGGGAGGGAATTTGATTGGAAAGAAAAAACTTTTTTTTGCTTAATGTGTTCGATTTTTAGGAGAACCAGAGGGCCTGGGACGATGTATCCCGAGTGACTCTGGGACTAGGCTGGACTCGTCCAGCCTTTTCTAGCCCAGAGCCGGAATATCGGCCCAGTGTGCAGAGAAACCCCGAGGAAATGGAATCCCCGGAAAGTCCAACGATGAGTCCGCCGTACTCTCCCCAAAGCCCAAGGTGGTCTCCGAGCCGCCATGGGTGAGGGAGGCCAACTCCGGGAGATTGTTTTTCCATCTAGTTCTTTGTTCTTGTTCAAAAAGAATAAAAATTGTTGATTGAAGAATGTACTTGTTTTGATGGTCTTTTACCATTTACTTATTCAGTTTTTTTTTGATTATAAGTGTTGATGGGAGACGAAAAAGGGGGGGGGGGAGGAATTTTGTTCATAGTTGAAAAAATAATTTTAGAAACAAAAATCATGCAGCGTCGTGAGGTCACCAGCCCCGTGATGAATTTAATGGTCAATGTTCAAGTCGAAATGGTGGGTGATTTAATGAGTGTTTTTTCTTTGTTGTATATTCCCTTTTTTCAGGTTAACCGGAATGACGCTGAATGCAGTTTTGAGGAGCGCATGATGAGCTTATTAGCGGTTAGGATTTATAATTCGAAGGAGAAAAACAATGTATCATTGGAGGTGTTTCAGTCGCCTGTTTGTACCGGCTGCGAAGGATCGGCCCTCGCCGTCCGGGACATCTCGGAAAAGCGAAACCGTGCCCGTGAATGGGCCACGTCGCTTGCCCATTCGCTGGAGTTCAAAGAGGCTCGGGCCAAGTGGCGCACCGAGATGAATCGAGGAATTAAGGAGCAGTACCGAACCCGTATCTTAACGGGGGGCGGGTAAGAAGGAGAGGGAAAGAAAAAAAAGTTTGTTGTTGGTTGGCTTGGGACCAAGAGAAGAAATTGATATTGCATTCTACAAGTATCTGCGAAGGCACGTCGACCCAAGTATGTTTCGTAAACTTTTGATGATGTGTTTCCTATTTTTAACATAGAGTATGTTGTATCTGAGCAGATGCCGGCGAACGTAGAAGAGATCTGGCAAAGGAGGCGGGTAAGTCTTTGCGACATTACTTGAAGAATCCGAAACAAGAAGAACGGTCAGCTGCATCGTTCAAAGGGTAATTCCTGCAAGGAAACCAGTGAAGGTAGCGCTCACAAGAACTTCAACCCAAGCTGATTCATTCCATTTTTGGTGCTCTCTAGGGCTACGTGCAGTACGTGCGATGGATGCGGGCGGTTGTTGACCACAGTGTCATCGACAGTATAATCGAAGACATAATGAAGAAATTTTCCAGGAATGCAAAAGCTCTGCTTCACGCAGAGTACAATTGCGAAGTGAGGTTCGCAGATGAAGCATGAAAGAAGAGTTGTAGCACTTACAATGTCACCGTCTTACAGCGCTCTGCCAACCTACATAATGGTTTGCAACGCCACAAGAAATGAGGTTGCCTAATAAACCATTGTGGCAGTGCTGTGGAGGTCACACAATTTATGGGTCTAATCAAGCATACACAAGAGACCAAGGACTACTGGGTAGAGTTCATCTCCCTTTACACATGGGTTTATTATAAGGTGTTTTCTGGCCAGCAAATCAGATCTTCGTAGGTTGCACGCTTCCCGAACCCTAAACAGCGTACAATGTCGGTCGAACTGACGACATGCAAAAGTGGTCTTTTCGGGCTCGACAAGAAGTCGCATCGGTGGTTGCAATACTACAGAAAACTTCGTGCTAGGTATGCCCCTACCATCAGTATCAGAATCTCCATAGCGTCTTTAGCCTAGTGAGCCAACGTGATGACATTAGCCGCGAAGAGGAACAGTTCTTTTTGCTGTGGAGCGGAACGCCTGTGTCGTTCTCGTCTGTTTCTCCTCTTCTGAGACCCTTCTTCATAAATTCTCAACTGTGAAGAAATGGCTATCACATGCAATGCGGTTAGTGAGGAACTGTCAATGAATG